CGGGTTTTTCTACACCTAGTTACTGATTCCATCTCCTTTATACGTAGCGTTCACCAGGTCTCTCAGTCTTCTCTCAAACTCTTTGTGAGTTCGCGCTTCAGAGAGAGAGGCGCCGTTCATGTCTCGGATTGCCGGGCGCGCGATGAGGAGTCTTAGAGAGTGGGAGGAGACCCAGTGATCTACCACTCGGTGGATGAAGCCACAACTGTGTAAAGTGGCTGAGTGCATTGCGTTTTAAGTGACTGTCCAGTGTTGATCTACGCNGGTCAGAAAGCTTGGTTACTTCAAGCTGTTTGCATCGCATCTTTCGGTCATAAAATCGCCTAGACAACTTGGCACAAACCATTGCGTAATCGGAGTCCAAGCAGGTAGACCAATACGAACGGCAGTCTTTCACACATCCTCTCCATCTATAGCTAATGGCTATATGGTCAATCTAACTCCACGTCTGTGCCGAAGAGAGGTTACACCAAGTGACGAGATGCGTTAATTGTCTGAAGTTCGTGCTAATGAGGAACAGACCGTGTTCTGAGCGTATGCTAACAGGTCTATCCCCATTATCTGAACGATAGCTGTCAAGTCAATGATGGCCACAAAGGTGGGTCTCATCGGACGACAGACGACCAGCGCGTTTGTTTAGATCTTTAATCGGATAACTGAGTTCGCATCCTGTATCCGTGTTTCCGAGAGGTAACACGCATCAACCTCGAGCGTACGTGCCAAACCTGCTTGTTGTTCTATAATCATTAGAGTTCTAACGTTGAACAAAGCCAGTTGGAACGCAGAGTGAGGTTGGAGGAATGGAACGCCGGAATCCTAATGATAAGGCAATGCCGAGACAGATGTCAAGGGGATAGCGGCGATGTAGAACGTGAACGTACGTCAGTGGAACCATTCGAGGTGAGACATACAGTGGAAAAATGGGGATATTGTGTGGGAGCGTGTAAATGTGTTGCGTGCAGATTTGAAGAGAGTTTTTCATGAGTGCAAAATTCTGAGGTATGTGACTGCTTAAGTTCCTGAGTCCATGGTGAGATTGTGGGCGTGAAACTACTCGGTTGCCCCGGCCTGAGGTAGAGGGTTTTCTTGGAGGACCCTACCCGGTGCCTTTGATTTAAGAACCTGACCCACAAGGTAGTGGGGTGGAGTAGGGAGTCCACGATCCTCTTTAAGCCAGTGACTGGGGAACTTTCGGATGTGGCCAACTATCTGGGGTACCAGATTACCCTTAATCCGCGCCCTTGCCAGTGAGCCTCACGGTGGTCAACTCCAAAGGTCAACTTTGAAGACCATTTCGGTGGCGCCGGGGATCGGTGCCACTATGAGCTTCTTACGCCAGATGTGGGTGGTTTCGAATCTGGGTTTAGCGAACTCCCCTAGACCGACTACCAATGGTCAGTCAACCGGTGGAAAGCGCCGAGCATTTGCCTCTGCGGGTCCACTTCAGTGCCAACACCTCCGCCACGAGAAGACAGTGGGTAGGACTTCCTCAGCAGAAACCAGTTGAGGCGTTTGGTCTTTTGGGAGCATTTCTAGAGGAGTTCGGGACGAATAACCATTTCGGAGACCGAGACACCCAGTCCCGACCGTACTGAGGCATATATATATATATATATATATATATATATATATATATAT